ATATACTATCTCTATTTCCCTTTTCAACGATTCTTTTCCTCAGGCTTCCCTGTGGATTTTTCCCCTCACAGTATAATGGATTTTATACTGCATAAAAGAAACACTTTATAACACTGTCTTGCACTGAATTTGCAAAAATCTTGGAAGTTGCAAGAGTTTTTTTTCATTTTTCAAAGTTTACAAAACTCTATCTACATTCCCAGTGTTGTTCTTACACCACTGAGCTTCAAGGTCATCATCTCTTATTACTATTCAGAGGAGAGTTTTAGGTCAAGGGTTTTTGTTTTGTTTTGTTTTAAGCCTGTATACTAACTGATTTGGCTTCTCAGAAGCTCAGCACCATCACAGATTCAAAGACAATCTTATTTCTATTCAATATTTTGATCTCATGTAGAAAACCATATTGTGTGTGTGTATATATATATTTTTGCCAGGTACTGTATTGGGTTTTAGGGATGCTGAAAAGAGGAGCATGGTCTCTATTTAATTAGATATGGGATCAAGCAAACTAGGGCAGTTATGAAAAGATTGCTATTGCTCTCTTGCTACTAGGAATCAATTGTGTCTTATCCGCAACACATGAGGAAAGTAATGACAAATTTTATATGGATGTGTGATTGGAGTGATTTTTGGAACATTATTCATCTTGAGGAGTGACAAAAGAAAAGTCACATCAGGGACCACCATGGCACATCCTGGTCGTATCTTGGAGAAGGGTGGTGGAAATGAGCACTGACATCAGAACCTCTCAAAATTCATCCCTAAAAAGCCCTTTTATTTTCCCCTTTGAATCCTGTCCTTACAAAACCCCTTTTTCCCCTTTTTCACCACAGCAGAAAGAATTGCTGCTTTCTACCTTAATTAAGCAATACAAAATTCATTTTTACCTTTTTTTTTTTTTTAAGGACACATATATGAAGAGACTCCAGAGCTTTAGCATTAAGGAAGCAGTGCTGCCACCTAGAATTTGCAGGTGTCCAGCTGAAAGAATTAAACTTGACATTTCACTTAGCACATGTGGGCTTCTATTTGGTAAATGCACAATTCCCTTTTGACTTCCTGCAGTATGAAAAATGGCCAGCCAGCTCCAGAGCTTTTCCTGAGGATCCCTAGAGGTCAGCAGTCTCTAGCTGGAAACCACTGTCCAAAGCACAAGGAGGAAATAACAGGGAAAGAAACATGGCATTGCGTCTCTGCTTAAGGAGAAGACAGTCCCCCAACGACTGGTGCAGGCCATACTTGCCGTCAGGGAGCTTCTGACCGAGAGCCTCTGGTGACCTTTCACATTTGGCCATCTGACTTGATCACGTTCCTAACCCTGGATCCAGTCACATTCCTGCTCCTTTATCACTGGGTTACATTCATGCTCTTTCTTTGACTTCATATCTTGAACGTTTTCCATATCACCTCTTCCCTTTCTAATTTCTTCTCGAGCACCTGTTAGCTTTCTACCATCATCTCACGTTGTGTCCAGTTTAAAGGTGTTATTTACTCTCCCAAGCACGAGACCTGCTGAGCTCTGCTGAGTGTTTCCTATTTAACTTCTCCATTTTAGAGGTAACTGGCCTTGGTTTCTATTACTCTTGAGAAATATCTATGAACCAACTTTTATATTTTTACACAATTGTTTTTCACACATTCATAATAAAATACATTAAAAGTCTCTGAAGGACCCACTAAAATGTTAATAATTTGCGAACATATTATGTGTGTGTCTACGGAGGATCATCACTCCAGGAAGGTCACTTAGAGAAGAGGAGCCTTGGGCAGCGGCTGTCATCATGCAGAGAAGCCATTAATCCAGTGGCTCTGATTAGATCGTCTGATTTTTGAAGGGAAAGGAAAAACTATTTTGGATAGTTTTAATGACTGGGTTGCTTAATTCATCTCCATTCTTCAGAAAACTGTCCCTCACCTCAACAGTTATTTGGTGAATATACTGACACCTTCTATGACATTATTATTTATAAATAAATAATCAATAGTCTTATGAGTGAGCCTCTGCAGCACACATGATTTATGTTTGGCATTTATATAGCTTTAGCTTGATTCAATATAGAGGTTCAGAGTCCGGGCTTTTGGTCCAAATTTCCTGAGGTCAAATCCTAGTTCTGTCATTTGTTGGCTGTGTGACCTTGGGAAAATTACTTAACTTCTCTGTGCCTTAGTTTCCTCATCTGTAAGATGGATATAATGCTAACACCTGCACGGAATAGGTGTTTTGAAAAATAAGTTAAAATATAAAGCACCTGCTACTGAGCAAACATTCAACAAATGTTACATAGCTATAAGTACCTAAAGACTGACTGGTAGAAACAGTACAAGAGGAAAAAAATTTTGAAGTGAACAAAGACAGAATTTGGAATACATGGTGCTTTCTGGAACTCAAAACATTGATAAAATCACCATTTACACATTTCTTTCATTCTCTATCTGTGAATAGTAAAAATAGAGTGTATGCATTTAAATCTTAGAACTGCATCTGTACGTGGAAAACTAAATAAACAAATATTTCAAGAAACATTTTACTCTTTAATTGGAGGTTTAAAAGAAGCTGCAAAAAACAGTTTAAAGCTGCAGGTACTCAGTTGAATACTACTTATGAGCATGTGTGTATGAAAGTGCATGCGTGTGTGTGGGGTGGGGTGGGGTGGGTGGGTCTTCTTAAAACTGTGTAAATGAGCTCTACCTCAATGGCAAAGATCACTGAAAGAAAGGAAAACCAAGGATATGAAAAATGACACAATGGTATAAACTTGTGAAAACACAAAACATTCTTATGAAAAAATAAAAGAAAATGAATGAGAAACATTTGAATTTAGTATAATAATATTGGCTCCAATGAATCTTAAGTATGAAATTCAATGAGTTTCAAGTATAAAATTAATAGATGAATTTAATAGATTTGTATCCAATCATGAATAAAGAACAATGCAAAAAGTACCAATATAAGTGGAATTGCTGCTTTCTTTATGATGGGAGTTTTCAATGCTCAAATATCTCTAAATATTCAAAGAAGATACCCCAAATTGTAGGCTAGCACAATGGGATAGTCAGTTCTGATGTACAGAATTTCCAGTAATACAAAGCTTTGCTAATATTAGCCATTTGATAACTAATGCGATATATTTGAAGTGAAGCACCAGATAGTTTATTAAAACTTCACAGTCCAGAAAAAAAGTCAGATACCAATTAATTAAAGTCCTGATTTTTTATTGTTGGTTTTTCATTCGGGGTCAGATAAAAATAAAATGAAATGCCTAAAGTCACCATTAGATACATAAATGACAAAAAAATAAAAATGTAAATAGGCTATGCATATATATGTATATATATAAATTAAAATATTGAAAAAGACAACACTGCAAAATATTCTTAGGTTTGAATTCATAAACTCAAAAAAAAATTACCCCGTGTAAATTTATTTTACTGCTTTCTAGCAGAAAAAGTATTTCACAAATTTGGGCTGGAATTATATAGCATTTTACTTGGTTATTTAAAACCATATTGAACACGGCAGTAGCACTAGTTAGAAAAAATAGAATATTTTTCATTTTATCTATAAAATACACATTTTAATGTAATCTATCAGGGGATATTCAAAATCTACACATAATAAACAAGGTATAAAGGAAAATCCACATCTAAAAGCCAGATTTTTAAGGCATGGTCTAAAGTGGTTATACAGCAGAAGATTTTTATTAGTCATGTCGAATTATAAGGTAGATCAGTTTCAATTTTGAACTCACATATTACATATTTTTTTCTACAACTAGAAGCCACGTAAAGTATTTGCAACAATGGCATAAATAATCTCCCAACTCTTGTTTGAAGCACCTATCCCTGCTGTCACAAAGTGAAAAGGTCCGGAAGAAATAATCTGTACCACACCCAGATACACATTTGACTGTGCAGCTGCAGGACAGCAAAGAAATTAAAACCTGTCTTTCTATGCTCATGGTAGGAATTTTTATATCAAATACTTTTTTTTCCTCTTTGATTCTCTTGGTTGAAAGCATAGGCTTTGGCAATAGGAGTAATAAAATGAAATGCCTAAAGTGACCCTTAGATATAAATAAAAACCAAAAAGTTAAATAGGTTATGTTTTTTTTTTTCCTTTGTTAAAAATAGAACAGTTTTGAAAATCTAAATGTGTAGAGACTTCATATATTTCCAAATAGAATTGTTTTGGAGCTTTGGTTCTGTTTGTTAACATCCCAATTACTCTTGCAGTGGTGGGGAAGGTGATATAAGGATTTGTGACTCTGTGTCCCCTCTCTCACCAACTCAACTTCCCAAAGGGTCTGTACTCTAATAGAGTCAAATATTCAAGCCAAGTATGCTCATGCAGCAGAAACTACAGGAAAGGTTGACACACCTGCAATCTTCCTGCCGTAATAACATAACCTTCACACACTTCCACTTCCATTTTGGATACATTATCACTGTCATGACACCCAGTCTGTTTTCAGACATAACTGGGTACACATTCAATCACTTATTCTATTCCATTTCTTATAATCACTATGGTCACCCAGACTAAATTCTCTTGTAGCATCTAGAGGTCAGACAAGTTGATATTTAATATTTTTATGATGGTGATCAAGACTACTACATATAATTATGCAAAATGGCAATCTGGCACTGAGGCATTTTATTACCAAACAACCTTCATTTAATGGCAGAAGGAGAACAGTCTCCAAATCCAATTTACTATATACTACGCCCATCTTACTTTTAGTCAAACAAAAAATACATATATATATATATGTATATATAACTATTCCTAGGATATTTATAGAATGGTAGAAAATGTCCTTTGTTGATACTGGATAAAAGTTAAACTTAGAACACCATTTTGCCAATTCAGACTGCTTTAACTTATTAAATTCTATTTTTTTATTTTAAAGCTTAAACTCATTTAATATTATCTATAAGTACATGTTTTGCCCTTACTTTTTTTAAATGCAGATTTTAAAAATCCCCCATATATTACTTACTTGTTTAAGCTTCTTTAGATCTTCATCAAGTTCTAAGTTGTCCAAAATAACAGCAACAAACAAACTCAGGAGGATCTATAAAATGGTTAAATAACAATGAAAAATCCCACACACCATAAGTATCAAAATATTATATGTATAATATAGAATATCTATGTAAAATATATTGTATGGAGAATTCATTAAATGAAAGATAAACATGCAATTGTGAATCATTGCATAGGCATTTTAAGGTAATTATCAAAAAATCATTAAAGGAAATGCATATGCTAATTGAAATAAACAACATAAAATGTTAATTTGCTTTGTGAGGCCAATTTAAAGAGGAAATTAAGAAACAGTTTTTTTCTAACTCAACAATTCCATGTCTGAGACTATATCCTAAGAAAATAATCTGAAATACTGATGAAAAGATTAATTTACAAAGGTGCTTGTTAGAGGGTTATTCATAAAAATGAAATATTGTAAATAATATCCAACCTTGCACAAATAACAGTTAATACAGCAGTAGAGATCTATATGATAAAATCCACACAGCCATTAAAAATCCCCATAGTGGTAGCTAGTCTCCACGATGCCTCCAGTGTTCTGCTCAGCTCCTGGTGTTCACGCCCCTTTGTAGTTCCCTTCCACACTGAATATGGCTGGCCTGTGTAACCAGTAGGTTACATAAATGATCACCTGTGACTTATGAGGCTAGACAATAAAAGACCTTGTGGCCTTCACGTTGGTCTCTTTTGGATCAACTGCTCTGGTGGAAGTCAAGGGCCATGTTGTGAGGACACTCAAGCAGCCCTATGGAGAGATCCATGTGGTGACGGATGGAGGCTTCCTGCCAACAGCCATGTGAATAACCCCTCTTGGAAGTAGGTACACCAGCTTCAGTAAAGCCTTCAAGGTGGCTGCAGCCCCAGCCAACAACTTAATTGCAACCTCATGGGACATAGTTCTAGAAACACTCAGCTACACCTGTCCCAGATTCCTGACCCACAAAAACTATGTTAGATAATAAATGTTAATTTGTTGGTAAGCTTCTAATGTGAATAATTTGTTACATAGCAATAGATAACTATTGCACTCATGAATTTTTATAGTTTTAAAAAATGCTTACGTTACAATATTAAATGAATATATATGGTAGAAGTTCAACTATGTGTAAAAAGAATAATAGAGAAAATGTGAGAAGGGGTTACTTTAGACATATTAATGGTTTCTACCTTTGTGTAATGGAATAATAAATTCTTCCCCTTTCCTTTGTATTTCATGGATTAATGATATTTCCCAAATTAAAAAAAGAGACATGCTTTTTTTTAGAACAGGTAAATAAAAGAAAAAGGAAAAGAAAACAACAGTAGAATTTTTAAAATATTTAAATTTCTTTTCCCTCTTCAACTTGAATTCTCTGAAGTCCCACACTCATCTGATCATCTTTTTCATTCCTAATTTATATTTTTCCTTTCAATTTCCCTTTTAACAAGTTATTTCCATTTGTTAGTATTAGATAGTTAAACATGAAGGTATAAAAGTTGAGGCAATTTAACCATGAATTTTAAGTACCAGTGAGTTTATTATTCAGAACGTAATGGCTAGCTCTTTTCCAAGTTTAATGAGTATATAAACAATATTAAATTGCAACAGGATGTGTGTGGCTTGGGACAAGTGCCAATACCCTTCTTTTGAATTGCCACGTCCTTTGGGATCCTACCAGAACTTAAAGAAGACACAGAATAGTCTACTTTTTCCTGACGTCACTATGTCTGGTACACCATCAGCATCCAGGCATCAGGCTTCCTTTAAACCAGACACCATTCTAAACTGGACATTCCACAGTTCACTCCAAGTTTTGCCCCTTTCCCATGACCTTGACGATAAGGAGTAACACCAGAGGAGCCTGCCTCCCCCAGCACTGTCACCGCACGTTCTGAGATGGCCACCTGGCGACCTCCTCCTGCTGGTGGCAGCTATCTTACACCACTCTGTCACTCACTGGGCACTCAAGCAGGCGTTGCTCTCTGTCCTAATTTAACTGGGTTTCCTATCTCTCCAGTGGAAGTGCAAACACAATCCAAAAAAAATAAATCCCCTGATGAAAAAAAGGAGACTGTTTCCCTCTCTTAGACCATTTCCTTTAGAAAACTTGTAATTGTAAATTCTTTCTCTTACCCTTTGAGAAGTACATAAATATTTTTAAAAGCTAACAAAGCTTGTCACCAGCTTTACAACCCCCAAATGTTTCTCTTAAGAACCTGGAGGCTGTCTCCTTGAATAACGCAACATCAAGGGGGAGAGCAGCTCCATCTCCCTTCTTGGTGGGCGGGTGGGAGCTTAGCCGAGGCACCTGGCTTCAAGCTGGAACACTACCTACTGTCATGAAGATAAGAGAAATTTTCATTTTTCTCTGGATAAAGGAAACCACAGATGGCCACCCCAATTACCAGGTGAATTTCAGATGAATTATATTTAACAAATGGTGCTGTCAAGTCTTCTTCCTTGAAGACCAGTTATTTTTATCTTGAGAACATACATGTATGTCATGTGATGATATAAAAGGGTGAGGTTCCTTTCTCTCTGCCATCTCTTCAGCTGGTTGCCTGTGAGGTGCAGTACAGTCTGCTTTAGGGGTTATTCAATAATAAATCTGTTTTCTTTCTCTTCTACCTTTATGGAGAGGTTTTCTGGGTTGGCAGGTGATTCTAATTATTTCCCCAACACCAGACAGATGGCAGGCTACTTAAGGACAGCAAGGTTATGTTATTTGATTAAATTCGACAGACAGTTGATTGGATCCATCGATGTGTCAGGCACTGCCTGGTCAGGAACATAAATACGATATTGAACTCACCACTATGAAGTTTACAATCGAATTAAGCTGACATAGGTTGGCAGCCTGGTAGAAAAGAGCACTGTGCTTGGAGCTAGAGACCTCAGTTGGCCAACAGGCTGTGCCCATTACAAGCTACGTGACAACCACTAGCCAACGGGAGTTTCTGTGCCCTCATCTATAAAATATCATGGATATAATATTAACAGCTCAACAAACTGCAGCTGTCATTTTTTCATTTAATCCTCCTGCAACGACCCTGATGTGTAGCATAGCTTGTATGAAGACACACAGACTTAAACTTAGATATGTGAAACTAAAATAATTTTCTTGATTTTTTTACAAACACATTTAATTTAGTTCATAATCCCTCCATTTCCCTCCGTTTACACTGAAAATGTAACCTTTCTATATCAATTCAATTTAGTCATTCAAAGCTCAGTTACATTTGAATAAATGCTCCTCTTCTTTTTGGAGATGGTCTAAGGTCAAACACATACACATCATCTGGTGTCTGGTCCACTGTGATCTTGGTAATGTGTCTTCTGTCTCCTATCAGGGCAACCTGGGGCTCTGGGCTTTCTCTCTGCTGACTTGGCCACTACCTCAGCTCCTGAAGCTCCTGCTGAGATCTCTGATTCACACTGATACCATCTGTATGGGTTTCCTAGAGCTCCTGTAACGAAGTGCACACACTTGGTGGCTTAAAGCAGCAGGCGTTTATTCTATCACAGTTGTGGAGGCCAGAGGTCCAAAGTCACGTTGTCAGCAGGACCACATCCTTCCAAAGGCTTCAGGGTAGAATCCTTCCTCACCTCTTCCAGCTGCTGGTGACCCCAGGCTCTCCTTGGTTGTCCCTGCATAGTACTAGTCTCTGTCTCCATCTTCACAAGGCCTTCTCCTTCTCCCTGTGTCTTGTCCTCTTCTGTCTCTTATAAAGACACTTGTCATTGGATTTAGGGTCCATCTGGATAATCCAGGATGATCTCATCTGAAGATGCTTAATTTAGTTACACCTGCAAAGACCCTTTATCCAATTAGATTACATTCACAGGTTCTGGGGGCTAAGACATGGACATATTTTGGGGGGCCCCCATTCAACTCTCTATACTCTTCGTCTGGTCTTTGGCTTGGGCTGTTGTTCCTACAATAGACACATGAGTTCTCAACTCTCAGGGAAGTTTGGAAGTTCTGTCATTCCATGTGGAACTAAGGGAGACTTGTTTTCAGGGGATATTTCAGGCCCTCTCTCTACTTAGACCTCTCAGGCAGCTTCCCAGACTGCTCCTTTTCCATGTGGGTACCCCAGCAAAGCTATCTCCCCCTCAACTCAAGCTCATTCAAGAAGTAGGGCTCTCTTGGCTGGTCAGACTTGTCCCAATGGTACCAACACTGCCATCGCCCTGAGCTGATGCATTGCTTCCCATGGAAACACTCCTGTCTCCCTCTCTCTCCTTAAGGCCTTCATGACCCATCTCAGGAAACATTCTTATTTCCTCCCAGAAAGCAGAAATATGAAGAAAAATGTGAAGTATGCATAAAGCAAATATACTTCACAGGGCCTGGTTTTCCAAAGCCTTGCAGTTTCAAATATTGATCTTGCAAAGGACAGGAAATTTTCCCCAGGCTATTGAGTCTCTGTTGTGAGATAAAAAATTGCAACACAGCAAGGTTGCTGCCTCAAAGACAGACAGCTTACTGACTGACATGTAAACATACTGGGAAATTGCTGTAAGAAGAAAATGTTTGCTAAAATCAAGCTTTTATTAGTGGATCAACTTAATTGCATTATAGAATGTCATGTTATTGAATGTTACCAGCTTCTATTGTTAAACTTGTTAAACTGTACTTAGCAAAAATGCCACCTATGTTCTCTTCCCAGTCTGGAGAATAAATGCGTGAAGAGAACCCCAATTCATGGTTAATTTCCCAAATGGAGGGAATGCCTCTATCTTGAGGGTTCTGGGAGATTAACCCCTTTTCGGGGCTTCTCACTGCTTGGAAGAGATTGGCTTTGAGTAATCTTTGGTGCAAAGATGAACAACCAGAAGCTAAGACCCTGGGAGCATCACACACTGAGTTCTGTGCATTCAGACTTCTGAGAGCTCAGTTACAAAAGGGCCCAGGTCTCTCCTGAATGCTGCTTATGTACGACTGTGAGACGCTGAGCAAGAGCCCAAGGATGTGATCCCAAGATATCAAGGTATGGGGGAAAAGGTTAACTTTGGCAGGAAGAGAACTTGAGAAAGGCATTCCAGGTGCAGGAGTGAAGA